CAATAATAATAAACATAACGGATAAGCATTTCATAATTATGACAAATTGTAATACATAATCAAAAGTTCAACCATAGTTTTAAAGTATTTGGAATACAGAAAAGGAAATGACTAGGAGCCGGAGGAGGATGTGGAAATCGGACAAGCATGTTGGCAAAGAACGCAGTCATCTGATCCTGCATGGCTGCCTGGCGTGCTAGGATCGTGTCCTATTGTGCCCGCACATGATGAAGCTCCTTGGTAATCCCATCGACAGTCTGACGAGAGAGTCCATCAGTCCGTGTAGTAGTGAAAGCTGATCGTCGTCAAGTCGTCGTTCGGTGGGTCGGGGAGCTTTCGATCTTGAAGTGCCACAGGTGGCGCATCCTCATCGTCGTCATCAACGTCCTCGTCGTCGAGCAGTGGGGTAGAAGGCCCTAACGTCGGATCGAACCCCTTTATCTCGGACACCCATTGTCCATCCTTTTTAATAATTTTCATTCGTTTAAGTGTGTTGGAACTAATGGTGTCGGTGAGTCATAGATTAATAAAAGGTTCATCGTGAAGAGGGACTTCAAAAGTTTCAAACACCAATTGTCCTTCCTTTTTAACAATTTTCATTCGTTTCAGTGTGTTGGAACTAATGGTGTTGGTGGGTCGTGGTTTAATAAAAGTTTCATCGTGAAGAGGGACCTCAAAATGATGAAAGATTTTAGTGAGGAGCATGTCGTAAGGGAGTACCTTGGATATGCGTGAGGAACGAACAAGTTTTATGAGACCTAATGCGATAGTTGCGAAATCAACCCGACGTCCAACAAGGAAAGAGTCGAGGAGAAAAAGATCAAAGCAATTTACTTCGTCCCAATGCCCTTTTCTTGGTAGAATGACAGCGGCAATGATATTTTGTAAAACTTTGCACGGGAGAGTAAGTTGGTTTGTTGAAATCTTTGTGATGTTTTCAAAATCCTTACCCGTTACGCGATGATACGCGTCGGTGGGGTCATAGCCGTCCACCGTAAGGTGGGTTTATGCACAAATTTTTGGATGTTGCAAGGTTCAAGTTTTAGGATTGTACGAATGAGTGGTTTGGAAACCGTGTCATGAACATTTTTGACAAAATAAGAAATGTCTCCCGAACGAGGATTAATAGTCATATTTGTGTAAAGTGCGAATTAAATCTGGATATGCATTTTCGTGAATTGTGCAAATCGAAGACCAACCCATAGTCGTGATATACTCATCTATCCTAAATGTAGGGGCATCAAAGGAAAAAGAGATAAGATCGAAGTTTTTACCTAGAATAATGGGTGCCTTTGCTAGAGGATTCGTCTGCGAAGTCTCGGGTTCAAAATCCATTTCTTCGTCGGATGAGGGAGAAGGAGATGGAGGTGGACGCCGAGCC